TTAAACTAAATTATAATAAATAGTTCATCAAACTAAATTGAACTAAAATAAATATCGACTAAACTATTGTCTATTTTAGTACACTATAGTTCTAGGAGTGTGAATTAAACTATAATATCAACTAAATAAAACTATTATTAACTATAAACTAAATTGAACTACATTAAAAAAATACAAATTTAAAATCAAAATTTTTAAATTGAGCTACCAAATCATTGATATTAATTATGAATTAACACTACTATAATTTTTTTTATTACATGCGATTTTTCCTGTGAATTTTTCATAAAAATTTGCAGGAAACATTGTTCCTACAAATTTTTTTGCAAAATTTTATCTACAAGTAATAACTTCGTGGATAATATGTTTTTGCGAATTTTAAAATTTGCAAGAAATTTTCCAGCGAGATTTCTTGCAAAAAATCGCAGGAAGGTTTCCTGCAAAAAAAATCGCAGAAAAGTTTCCTTTTTGCAAGAAAGTTTCTTGCGAATTTTTTTGCAAGAAATTCTACAAAAATATTTTTTACGAAAAAAATTAAAGAAATTACTAATGATCACAATGAATTTATTCGAAACATTTGTTTTCACGCCCCAACATGTGATATATAATCTTTTAAATTCTAAGATTGTAGATTATAAGTCTAACACTCAACCATACAAATCAACTTATAATATTTATATAATACATTTTTTTAATTTTTATAATATTTATATTAAAAATATTGAAAGAGTATTAATTACGAAAAATATATAAATTTTATTCAAATAATAAATAAAAATTATTTTTTTTATCCTATAAATTAATTATTTATTTAGAACTATAGTGCACTAAACTACTTTTTATAATAGTTTAGTTTTTAAAACTAAAACTTAAAATATAGTTTAGTTTAGTTTTTATAAAAATTAGTTTAGTTTTTTATAGTATAATTTAGTTTAGTTTTTACAATAGTTAGTTTAATATAATTCTTTGAACACCCCTATGTGATGATATAGTGTGACCAGGTAGTAGTAGTATTATTACGCAGTGACAATAATCTTTTTTAAAAATTAAAAAATTATAAGAATTAAAATCAATAAAAAAATTTAAAAGGTGTAAAACCACATTAAATTGTATTTATAGAGATTTAAAATATATTTTAATCTTTTCTTTTCTTGATTTGCTTTTATTAATATGCTAATTGCATTCATAAGGGTTTTCAAAATTAAAAGACCATACTTATGTGTAATATACTTTTAAAGATTTATTCAACAATTTGCGTAATAAAATTCGATCGGCATTCAATGCTACCACACATTTTATTGAAGTAAAACACAGACTTTCATTAAACAGTAAGAATAAAAAATTTATTTTTATATACTATAAGTATTTTTTAAGGTTAAATTATAACTTTAATCCCTTTACTTATTTTCATCCATCTATAATTTAGGTTTTTATTTTAAAATAAAGACATTTAATTGTATTTAATGTTAAAAATAAGAAATTTTAATTTTTTTTTATCAAATTAATATCGATTAATTGTTAAATTTTAATTTTTATTTATACTTAAATAATATAAAATTTAGTAACATAACATTTAGGGATAAAAATTTAAAATGAAACATAAAAGTAAGATTTATTGATAAAGTGAATACTTATCACTTGTTAAAATAAATACAAATAAAAATATTTTTATAATTTTTATAATTTCACTTACTTTACATTTTAATCTTTATAGTTTAAAATAAGTATTTTTAATCTTTATACTTATCTTTTTTAATCCTTTTTAATCTCTATAAGTTAAAGTAAATCTTTTTAGTCTATGTACTTACATTTTTTTATTTATTATTTTAGTCTTTGTTATTATTTTTTTTATATGTCTCTTTTGTATTGATGCGATCTCATGAATTTATTTTGTTTAAATTAATATAAATTAAGTCTCTCAATAGTACATGTCTCTTTTGCACTCTTATATATTATATTCATTGTTAAGACACTATTTTTTTATCTTCACAAAATTGAAGACTTATGCTACATCAACATAAAATAGAAACATTACAAAAGATATTAAGATGGGGACTAAAAGAATTTAAACATGCAAGTATAATAACTAAAACAAGTATATCTTAAACTATATAAATGGAATAAAAAGTGTTGAAAAAATAAGTATAAAAATTAAAAATATTTATTTTAAATTATAAGGATTAAAAGATAAAGTAAGTAAAAGTATCATTACACAATAAATGTTACATACAGTGTCATACAAAAAATATCATTGTAAATATAAAACATGTAAGTATAAATTTATTTAACGTATAGTTATACACAATTTTAATATTATTTTTACATGAGATTTAACAATATATATTATGTGTCATTATATCTTGTACATAATTTTTTTTAACAATATCAACATATATTATATTGATAGTGTAGGTAAAAATAATTTTTTAGCAACAAGTATTGTGTCACTATATGATGTATATCACTATATGACAATTTTGTTATAATATATAAAAACTAAAAAGTCTTTTAACCATACTTTTTTATCTCTACATGTAACATCCTTAAATATCACACCTAAGTGATTACATGTTATTGAACAACATTAAAATTTAATCATTAATGAATATCAAATTAATAGTAGGACCAAAGCTTTATATTTTAAAAAATAAATGAACTAAATATCTTTATTTAAAATAAAAGGATAAAAATTACATATTAACAAAAATAGATCAAATTAAAAATATAATTTAACTATTTTTTAAAGTAAAATCAAATAAAATCATAAACTACCTTTTTCTAATTATTTATCATAATAACATATTTATAACTTTTTTCCTGTCAAAGAATTGGTGGGTTTAATTATTTATATGACTTAAATATTTAACGTTTCAAAATAAAACAAACAGATATTAAATTTTAAAAATACTCACATTCATAATTTTGGCTTCATAATTTTAAAAATATTTGCTCCAACAACTCTAGCTTGTTTGAAGGGTTTAATGAGAAAATTTCTTACTTTCTCTTCAAAACAACAAATCCACAGGAGGCATGATTCAACTTTTCTTTAATACGTTCATTTCATAAATACAATACATTGTTAGGTGCAAATTTGTACCGCTGTTCTAGCATACACAATAATATAATACTTCTTTTATAATCACGTAGTTGATAAAAATAGATAATTTGAATGTTCAAATTAATATATATATATATATGT